GAACAAGGGACAGACCACCGGCAGATGTACAGGATGTCCCCGTTCGAAGTGTCCGTGCTCGATTTTCCGTCCATGTACAGGGTGTCCCGCGAGACGACGCGTTGCCCGTCGTTCGGTTTCTTTCGCCTCGTTCTCGTTCCCCCGTTGTCGCCGTTTGCGAAAGAAACTGAACGAACGAACGAACGGCGGAACGAAAAGATCGGTCTAGCAACCTCGATCCGCCGCTCGCCGGCACGCTCGACCGCGCTCGATCCGCGAACGTTCGCGGAACGGCAGGTGGAGAGCGAAATTTCCTGCGATAAATCCTCGAGGATCGTATTAAGGGACGAGCATTCGCCGTGCAAACAGTCGCTCGATCGTTACGATCTAGCCTGCCGTGAAATATATCCCGTCCGCGAAAACCGTATATCTTCGGGTACGCGACGCGTTAAATTCCCGCGGCGCGATTCATTGGAAACCCGCGGGCACGGTTATATCGACACCCTTTAAGGATCCCGGTCGGATCGGAAGCGATAGATCCGGCCGGCCGGCACCGGGCAGCACGCGTTTCCCATTTCTGTCGATCGCTCGTCGATTTTCAGCGAAGCCACCGCTCGTCGGCGGGAGGGGGAAGCGGATTCCCTGGTCGTCCGAAGGACAAGAGGAGGAAAAAAATAAAACAGGCCAATCGGTACGGTCCTTTTTCCTCGCTCGCCGGCGAGATAGAGTTCGGATCGTTGCGAAACTGTTCGTTCCGCGAAAGGAGATCTCCTTCGAGTCGGGCGTCTAACAGAGATAAACGAGGTACGCGTCGGGAGCACTCGAGACGAGTTCGCAGGCGATCCCCGACGGTTATTTCCAGGCAAGAAGAACTGCGATTAGAGCGATTAGAGAGACCACGGCGTGCGTGTGGAACGGAACGGTTCCATATATCTAGCCAAGCTTTGCGCAACGTTCCAACGCGCTTCGTCTCGGTCTCAATTAACGCAATTACCCGGCTCCCTCGTCTAATTACCTATCAAACGGAATTGCTATCGTGAACGCGCGGACGCGCAACTCGCGCTCGCGCTGCCGTACGCGCGCGAGCTCGCCGGCGACCAAGCTTGCCTAGCCCCGGCTGGCTGGCTGGCTGGCTGGCTGGCTGGCTGGTCTCTAATGAACGTTATTAATTGCTTTATGATTTTTCGATAAAACATCGCCGCCGTAATCAAGTCATTATCCCACGTACCGCGTCCTCGTTCCTCCGTCTCCGCCCCTCGCTCCCTCCGCCTCCTCTCTCTCTCCCGTGGTACACTCAATTTCCCGTTTTTCGTCCCCGTACGGTCTTTCCGTGCTCCCGGACGGACCCTGGGAACTGTCCACGCCTCGGCCAACTTCTATCAACTAATAACTAGACTACCGAAGTTTATGCATTCATAGCATCTCATAAAACCCACGGAACTCCGTAAAATGAAGACTTTAATAAAGCATCCTGCTATATATAGGACGCGGAGTTTATTTCGAGCGCGATGCGAACGGGGGAACTTTGTTTGAATACGGTTTCTGATTGTACTTTGCGGCTTCTTCCGCATCGATGTTGCGCGAGTTTTCTCGGGGAACCGTTCCAAATATCGAAGACGTTACTCTTGTCATCGGTAACTGCTGTTTCTTTCGATATTTTCGATGGAGACCCTTTGAAATCCCGTTTCGAACCTCTTACCGCGATATATACACCATTAGACGCAACGTTTACGTTTCTGTGACGATGGAGAACGATTCCAGCGAGATACCCAACGCGTTAATGAAACTCCGCGACTGTTCCTCGCGATAATTACACTCCCGCGTAGGCCGACGCGACTCTGTGCCGCGTGCGCGCAAAAATTCCGGACAGATCTCAGCCGCGACACCCACCGGCTGATCGAACCCCGTTACTCGCGGATAGATATTTATGAGCAAAAGTTTACGAGGCCCCCGGGGCGGTTTATAATGTAATTTATATGCGCGCTTACCGTCGAAACTCGCCGCGCGGAAGGAAGGTCGCGGGGCTTAACAGTCGGATTACTTCTGAGTGTCATTCCGCGGGAAGTTTGCGGGGTTCATTTGAATATCGCGCGGCCAACTTTTATAACAGTCTCTCCTTGGATCTATTAGCGGCCGTATCGCGGGGCCTTTGTTCGCCGGATCTCCTTCGGCTCGCGACGAAAATGCTGTTGCGCTCTGACCCGGTTCCGCGCCATCGCCGCGTTGTCCTTAACCCTTCGAGTCGCGGATCTGACTAATTTCGCAACGCCCCGCATACGATAATTACTCCTACGTCGCGCAGATACACCGACCTCGAAACAACTTTCTTTCTAAGCTAAACTATTTCCTTCCAACAGAATCGAATCTCTTCGATTTTCCGATCGAAGATCAAACTCACCAAGTTCGTCATATCCAGTCGCCTAGAAGCACGCTCGTTCTCAAAGCCGCGAAAAGATACCGAGCTCAAAACGACTTCCTTCTATAACGTGTCTAATCGTTAACTCGAATAAAAATTTTATCTAAGCTATTTCCTTACCAGCAACAGAATCGAATCTCTTCGATTTTCCGATCTACAGATCAAACTCACCAAGTTCGTCATATCCAGTCGCCCAGAAGCACGCTCGTTCTTCCCAGAGGCGCGTCCTCCAGCCGACGTGGAGCACCTGCGCAACAAACGAAGCAACGATTCAATTCCGGAGCGCCATATGTCAGGAGGGAATCGCGTTTCGCCTGTTTCTCGCCACTTTGACGGTTCGCGGAGCGATAAAACCGCGTGTACTCGCACACGTCCTTTGTATCGCGGCCGTAGGATCACGCGACGACGGTGCCCGGCCGTTATCCTCGGGGATCAAACGGAACGGGGACGAAGGGGGCGCCGCCGCGAGGGGATAAAAAAGTCGTTAAAGACGCGCCCTTGCGATAAGTCGACGGCGTGAGAGGAGCGTAACGATTCCGACGATAGAAGGGACGGAAAAAGGAAGAGGGGCCCGGGGAGCGGGCCAGGGAAGAGGGACAAGCGAGCAGGTGAGATCGGCGGGAGACACGGCGACGAGGGAATTCGGCGTGCGGGGGGAACGGGGCGGCTCGTCACGGATGCCCTCTCGCCGGTTCCCCTATTCTCTTATCTCCGGCGAGCCAATTTGATAGATCAACGATAGACCCGCCCGGTCTATAAAACGCCAGGCTGCCTCTCCGCGGGGACAGGTGCATCGTCGCGGGCCGCGCGACCCGGCGAAGATGCACCTGACCGAGTGCCACCCCTCTGTGTATCTCTATCACCGTTAAATTACACCGAAACCTCGGCCGTTTCACGGGCCAAGATTAAAGAGCGGACGTTTAGCGTGATGGAACATCCTGCTGCACTTGATCCCCGGACTTTTTAACCGTCTACCCTGTCATTTCTTTCGGAGCTCCGTTCGCTGGAGATACTTTGTGCGACGATAGTTTAGTAGGGATAACGAAGGGTTCCGAGCTCGCGCGTACACGCGTGTAACGATGGTATTAATTGGTGTGAGTGACGAGGAATGTGTCGGTGAACGATGAATGTACGTGAACGTCGCGTGTTTCGAATGAATGTTTAAGATAGAGTATTTTGAACTGATTGTAATATTGATTTGTATATGTTGACCCTCGGTCACCACTTGATTTCCTACGTTGAAGCTATAAAGTTTGATATTTAATATTACACTTCGTACAATGCATCGATCTGAGAAATATTGACGTAAAATAGCTTTGTCCGTCGATTCACGTGAATTTCTCGTCGAGTTGTTTTTACAGAGTATCGTCTTCGTCTCATCGGAAAGTGTTGAAATATTTCTAGTGAAAAACTTCGGAGTGCAAAGGGTTAATGACGCTTGAATGCATCTGGAATGATACAAATGTATGTGCGATTTGATTTCGATTCATTGTTTTACTGCGAGTCATAGTAAAAATGTTGTTTATAGAAAATATTCTCTTTTTCGTATATTTATCTGTGAACCATCATGGAGACTGGAGTAATAGGTTTCCTAGGATTCAACACAAAACCTACCGAGCAGTTGAATTCACTTTCTGAAATTCAAGAATGCATTCATCGAGACATTAACTGATTGATAATTCAGTATAGTGTTACTAAATCAATTTCTTGAATAATCTCTTCATATCTGTCGTCCGTTTAATAATTGCAAAAAGAAGAAACCAGGAATAGGTTATTTCGACCAGTCTGGTAGGTTTAGCGTTAAATCGACTCCGATCGTCGATTCAGTGGAAATATACGGATCTATCGTGGCAGTTTGCATAGGAGGATCACTGTAATGTTAACAACCGTGAAAGGAAGAACGATGTTATCCGTCCGATATGTTTACTGTTAAAGCGGAGCGACTGATAACAGAGGAACGATATTTAATACGGACCCAACGGAGCCGAGTATCGTTTACTTTTATTAACTTCCTCCCGAGATCCAGCTCGCGCGAGTCTAACGCGATATTGTTCGGGAAGGGGTTAATTGTTACCGGGGCCAGCGAGGATCGTCCGCGCATCGTCGCTCGCCCGATCTAGACGGAAGATACGATTCCTCGAGTACGGAACTAAGCTCCTGCTTTTTATATCCTCGCGCCGGTGTCCGTCGAACGCGTTCGCGCACATCCTGGCCGCGTAATCCGAGCTCTTAGCAACGTTCCACGGGGATCCGCGCTCGCGGAACGGGAACAAATAGGAGTCCGCGGGCTGCGAGCCGACGGGTTTCGACGAATCCGCCGTCGCCGTCGGCCGAGGAGGAAAACTTAGAAAAGTCGTGTCCCGGGTAAACCCGGAATCGCGGGATTATCCGAGATGATCGCCTAATAGCTTTAGGAAAGAATCGACTGGAGGGGAACTGCTTAAAATTAGCATAAGCCCCGACTCGGCCCGCCTAACGAGCGGAAGAGCTGAGACCCCAAAAGTGCTGGCGACGAGACGCGAAAAAAAAGAGAAAAAACCAACATGGAAGACGAACGGGGGTAGGAAAATCAGACGTCATTGGAACTTCGGAGATTCAATCGATCATTTTCACTTTCCCGAGCCGACGTTCGATTAACTCGTCGGGCGGCCTCCGATACCTTCGAGCCGACTTCGTCGCTTATCCGACCAGCCGTAGAACTTAATTGCGCCACCTTCGATTGCCGTATCCACGGTGCTATCAATTACGCGAGGATTACGTACGGCGCGATTTAATTCGCTGTTAATCGGCGATATTCGTTGGAAACCGAACGCTTAATGGTTCCGACTGGAGGATCAGACCCCGGAAGAGCCTCGGAATGCCTGTTATCCATCAGGCAACGAGTTAAACGCGTCAATTATCGGTTTAACAGGTATATCGCGAGCGAGGCTCGTTCTTTCCGCGAGCGGGAGCCGGCTCGCGCGCCGAGGAACCGCCGGGGGAGCGGTATGGAGGCGCATTCGTCACGCGGGATACGCAATTGTCACGCGATCCCGCGAGTCGGCCGGCTCGCGGTCACGCGCGTCGAATCTTCCGGGTATCGGTGTCGGCTCTGTTACCGAAACGTCTAGATTTCTTCGAAGTTAGCGGCGCCAGCGTGCGCGACGCTTCACAACAGGTTGCGGGCCTTAATTGGCTGAGCCGAGTGATTTACGAATTGAGAAAAGAAAGCGTTTCGTCGACTGGCTGGCTGGCTCGCTCGTTCGTTTGCTCGCTCGCTGGTCGGATGAAACCGCGAGCGGCACGCCGCCTGAACGCGATTTTCATGGAAATTATTAATTAGCCGCGGGCGGCGAGAATCGAGCGAACGGGGAACGACAATGGCGGCACGTTGATGCACGCGGCGCGCGCGAGGTGAAGGGACGGCCGCATCTGATGCGAGTTTAACGAAGGCCCCGATAGAAATCTGACGGGAGATTCGAAAGAGGCAAAAGAAACGCGGTTAGCTGGCGAGCGAGTCGCGTGAGAGAGGACCCCGCAGCGGCCTCCACGAGCTTTTTCCAAGAGCACCGAAAGTCGTAAAATGTCCAGCACCCACGTAGCGGACGTGTGTCACGTACACGCCGTGGCCCGGCTCCGCGCTCCTCCGTGTATTATCGTCGCGTACGGGTACAGTCCTGCTCATCAATGATGGGAAACGCGTCCACCGAATTTCGAGCGTACTCACAAAACCGCGGAATCGCCTCCTGAAACGAGCAGTTTCAAACATCAACTGGAATGGCTGAACCTTTGTCTTCGGGATTCCTTCGCAGGCATCCTCTTTAACGCTGCGTCGAGGTTAGCAATGAGCTTTTATGAAGATTCAGCGTCGAGGATATTTCATTCTCATTTAAGGGATACAAGTAATAGGGTAATTTTCAGACGCTTCTCTTAACGCGACGCTCACTTTGAAATCAGTGATGTACGAACGCGATTTGTTTTTCGTGAATTATTCGATTCTTTAGGAGTTCAAGATTCATACTTTCAGGATAAAGTTATTATATTATTCTGTTTGTAATACTAAGAATAGAATTGCCGTTGCACTTAGATTCACGAGTATTAGGTATAGAGATTTGAACACGTCAGATTCAGTTCCAACGCGTCGAGGCTCCAGCTTTACCAGTCGAAGGGTTGGCAGTTCGAAGCCTCACCGCGACGCCGAAGGAGACACGTTCCGGAAGCCGACAGGGATCAGTGGGACCGCGGGTAATCTCGCTAATTTGTAAGAGATACAGAGGCCCGTTCTCAGGGTCGGCCGACACGCGCGTCGACGGTAGCTAAAAGAGCGACACGGGCGAACGTCGACGCGGACCGTGCGAATATCGCGTAACAGTAACGAGGATCAACGTAAAAGTTTATAACTTAATGGCTGTCGCGGGTATAAAATCTTAATTTTATGCAGGGCTAAATTACCGGGGTTGGCCGTCGGGAGAGCCGCGTGCTTGAGATCCGTAAATTAACTGGGCGCGCGGTGGCGCGGTTTTGGTAGCGGCTCGATGTTCGAGCAATTAAAAGCGACGAGTTAACGAGCGAACCTATAAACAGGCGGGCCCGGAGAGCGTAGCTGGCGCGCGGCGCTCGCCGAGCGCGAACTAATCGCCGGGCAATTAAATCCCGGGGAAAAGGAAAAAGCTGTGTCGCGTTCGTGTTCCGCGCGGATTTCTACGACAAATCATCGCCGGCCGGGATCTCGCGGGATTTCTTTCGCGGATTTCTCGGGGACCCCGCTGTTTCGACCGACGGGCCCCGATTTTCACCTCGGGAAAGTTTGCTCCTTGGTAATCGATCGTTCAACCCTTTGCACTACAGAGGCGCCTCTTAGTCAATTAATTTCACACAGTAAAATTGTAAAGTTTCTGTTTAATATTAAACTTTGTACAACGCATCGATATGTGAAATACTGGAAGATTCTTCCTCGATGCTTGCGCGATTTCTCAAGTGAATTTCAGAGAATCTCATCTGCAGCTCGTTAGAAAATATCGAGCATTTCCAGTGATCTGAGTGCAAAGGGTTAAGCAACCTCTACCTGTTTTAATTTTTTCTATATTTATTTGTATCACAATTCTACCATTCAAAGGTGACATTTCAACGACTCCTAAATATTCTTGAATAAATAAATGCGTCATATTAAGCTGCAATTGAATGAACTAACGTGAACCTCAAAGCGAGAAACCAAGAGTACTTCGCACCGCAAAGGGTTGTGTTAATAAACCCATTTCGTCACGATAG